CGGAGGGGGCGTGAATTCCACCAAGGGGCTTGAATTTGAGCCTGTTCTCTTATCGGAAGGTGGCTGCATGCAGGGTCCTCCAACATGGCTGTCCTGGAGGTGCCCTTGCTGTCGGGTTTCCGGGCGGACATGGAGAGCCTGGAGCAGGTAAGGCGGCTCTGGCAGGCAGAGGCCAGGGGGGTCTCTGGTCGGTGGTCCTGCCCAGAGTGGCAATTCCCAGCACTTCGTAAAATGGGTTGGTTGATGGGTTTTTTCCCCCCACTTTCTGGGCAGAGTTGGTGCTTTTGGGCTGGCCATTTGCTGAGGGGCCGGTGGGAAGGGCGGGGGGGGCTCTCTGATTAGGTGAGTCTCCCCCCAGGCCGGCCGGCCATGCAGTGGAGGGCTTCAGCAGACTTGCTTTAAGAGAGACCAGTTTCCTGTCCTCTTTTGTGGGGGAGGGGAGGTGCACAAAGTGGGGGACTGTCTTGCCTGGGCCCAAGGTGGTCTACAGTGTGGGGAGGGGGTGATCAGGGGACTGGAAGGAGTGCCAGGGGAAGGAGGAGACCAGCACAGAGGCTCTGGGGCAGGGGTGGCTCAGTGGTTGAGTGTTGACCTATGAACCAGGAGGTCATGGTTCGCTTCCCCATCAGGGCACATGCCCGGGTTGCAGGCTTGATCCCCACTGTGGGGCATGCAGGAGGCTTGATCCCCAGTGTGGGGCGTGTCAGTGTTAGAAAGAACCCACTATGTGTGCCATCTGTGTATGGGCTTCTCATCATTGATGTTTCTCTCTCTCTCTCCCTCTCCCTTCCTTTCTGAAATCAATAAAACAAACAAACAAACAAAACTGAAAAGAGGTCCCAGGCCGGGCAGGGGGGCTGGAGGGAGGGGGTTGAATGGTGCAGGTGAGGCAGGAGCTGGTGACAGGGCTCAGCCAGGTCCCTGGGGGACCACAGGGAGACCTGACCCGGGGCTGGAGCTGGATGGGAAGAGGCTGCAGGAAGAGGTGAGGCACCGCTAGGGACAGGGGCTGCCTTGGGTGCCCTCTCCTAGGCTGGGGGTCCGCAGGGCCTGGGGAGCACTAATTGTCATCCCTGGACCCTGCCTATAAGGACTTGTTGATGACAGTGGGCAACCCCCAGCCTCTGGGGCCCCAGCTTCCCCAGGCCTATCTCCCACTGACCACACTGGGCCCCAAAGAGATGGGGGAGGAAGCAAGCATTGCAGGCAGAGGGCCTGGGGGAACCCTGACCTCTGGCTTCCTCACCAGCTGCTCCGGGGCCAGCATGTGGCACTGAAGAGGTACGAGGTGGCCGGACGCAGAGTTCTCTTCTACTTTGACGAGGTACTGCCAGCTGGGGCGGTGGGCAGAGGCCTCCTCAGCACCCACACTGGGGAGGGCACAGCCGTCACGGTCCAGTGTGATTCCTCCAACTATCTCATACCATGAGAAAGAAACCGGGAGAGTAAATCAGGCACAGCTGCTGCAGCTGATGGTGTGCCCCAGCCAGCTGGTTTGGTGGGAAAAGTTGGGGGTGGATGGAATATAGTATTCAGCCACAAAAAAGAATGAAGTACTGACACAGGCTACAACGTAGATGAACCTCAAAAATGTGCTGAGAGAGGCCGAGCACAAAAAACCACATAGTGTGTGATCCCATTTATAGGAAACTAGAGGCCCTGTGCACGAATTCGTGCACGAGTGGGGTCCCTCGGCCTGGCTGGCAATTGGGGCCATCTCGCCCAGTCCCACCCAATCGGGGGGCCGCTGGGGAGGGACCTAGGGAGGACTCCAGGGTGTGTCTGGCCCTCTCGCCCAGTCCCGATTGGCTGGACCCCAGCAGCAAGCTAACCTACCGGTTGGAGCATCTGCCCCCTGGTGGTCAGTGTGCATCATAGCGACTGGTCAAGTGGTTGACACTTAGCATATTAGGCTTTTATTCTATAGGATGCGCAGAACAGGCAGACCCATAGAGACAGGAAGCAGAGCGGAGGGGAGGATGGGGAGTGACTGCTTTGGGGACAGGGTCACCTTTAGGGTGATGAACACTCTGGAACTAGACAGAGGTGATGTCACACGACATTGTGAAGGAACTAAATGTCACACACGGGGTGTGTGTGTGTGTGTGTGTGTGTGTGCTGCAGGACTGGGGAGCTGAAAGGCCAGCTGAGACTTATTTGGGGGGCATGGATAAAAGGACCCACAAACTGAAATGGGACCAGGTTTCTGTTTCACTTCTCCTGGGTACCCCCAAATCAGCTAGTAGTCTGGGCCCACGCAGTGGGGTGCCAAAGAGCATGGAGGCCGTAGCTCAGGCCCTGGGCCAAGTGGACCCAGCCGAGCCGAGCCCGACCCCGAGCCCGAGCCGAACCGCCCGCTGCTCCGCAGATCTCCAGCCAGTGCCTGACTTGCGTGCAGTTCCGGGCGCTCCGTGAGCACGTGGTGGGCAGGACGTCCGCGCTGCCCATCTCCGTGTACGACTACTACGAGCCCGGTAGGCCCGCTGCCCTCCCGCACCCAGCTCGGCCCCTTACCTGTCACCCTCTCCCATGGTCACCATCCCCCTCGCCCCGCAGCCTTTGAGGCCACGCG